ATATATATATTAAACTACTGAGTAAACTCTTTCAAACTGCACCACCATGCAGCTCAGGTTAACTTGACGTTTTGTTTCATTTTTTACACTTTTGCAATGAGAACCTTTRAGACAGCTTTGGTTTTTAGAATACTATAGAAGCTCCACGCCCCACAACGTTTCATTTACTGGACTTTTCTTTGCTTTAAAGCCCAGGAGAAGCCAAAACAAGCCCGCGGTGTCAAATGACGAGTGAAAAGTTTGGTCCAAACGTCAGTGGGAGCAGCAGACATCCTCTGCCGTGGCGTGAAAACAAACGTACACCGTGTTCCAAACTGTTCTCGCCCCACAGACGAACCCCCCCACCCAGCGACACTCTCCCCCCTCGCTTGTTTCGGTGCGTGACAGCTGCTTCGCAGCAACACGGTTTACTACAGGACAGGCGCGCGCTCTGTGCGCGCGCGCTCACACACACATCAGCACGCAGACAAACAAACAAGCTGGAAAAGCACACGAGCTAAACCCAAGTCGTCCTCACCTGATGAGGCTCGTGTCAGTCGGTCTGAGGGAACACCGYCGCTTCCTTCCTCGGATCTTAAAGAAAAGTGGTGTTAAAAGCAGCGTGGAAGAGTTGTTTACAAAGTTTCACCGTGAGCTCCCATTGGTCTGAAGGAAAGTTGACGCCCCAAAGCCTCGGTCACCGACACTCAAATCTAGTTTCCTGAACGYGTCGAGAAGCTCCGAGGGAAGGAGGTGCGTTTAGTTCCCAGCAGCAGAAAACCTTTATGTATCTTCCACTTATTTCCTGTTTCTGATACAGAAAAAAACAAACAAAGATGGAGGTAAAAGCTGCAGTTTAACGGAGGAGAGGAGGCCATCTCTGGCACCGTTTTCATTTTTTAAACAGGGAAGAACACAGGCTGTTAAAAACAAAGAGAAAACAAGCACATTAAAACAAGAGTTTCCTGAAAACACCGCAAAAACGTCTTTGTCAATTTAAAAGTGAAAAAAGAGAAAAGGTTTCAGTGAGAACTTGTGAAAATATCCAGAAAACAATTTTAGGCAACCCCTTTTTGTTGCTCAAAACTAAACTCTAAACTCCTGTTTTCTCATTTATCCAGAAGTGATATAACCTGGTACCATGCATCTCTCCTTGTAAAAGTTTAATGAAATGATGTGCATTGTCTCTGTACAAACAAACAAGTAGCCACTTTAAACAAATATACAGCGGGTAAAATAAGTATTGAACACGTCACCATTTTTCTCAGTAAATATATTACTAGAGGTGCTAATGACAAGAAATTTTCACCAGATGTCGGTAACAACCAAGGCTGACTCCAGGGAGAACAAGACACTGAATATAGGAGAGCTAACGAAGGGAGACGAGACACACCTGGGGAGAGAGAACGAGGATCAGGTGTGGGAGGAGCTGGGGGCAGACACTGAGGAGACCTAAACTGGTACAGACAGAATACACTGACTAAAACCACAGATCCTCACAGGGCCAAAGGTTGTTACCCCCCCCCACCCC